TTTCTTCCCGGGCCTACGGGGCCCCCGGGGCCCCCCGGGTTGGGGGGCTTTGGGGAAGGGCCCCCCGGGGGGGGGGGGGGGGGCGCACCATTGCCGCAGAGGGAAGTACCAGCTCCCCTCGCCCCCCACCCCCCGCAGCTCAGGGACCACTCCACCCGCCAACAGCTTGCCCTCCTCTCCCGCAGAGAGACAGGTAAGACACGGCTTTACACAACATAGGGGTTTACTTCACCAAGTTGAAACAGTGTTTTTAAAAACCCACGGCTTCAATTTAGGGCGAAGCAAACCCCTGTTTCATCTACACATGCTCTTAAACAGGTAAAAGCACAGCTATTTCACAAGACTCATCACCATTCACAACTAAGAAGTCTAGTTCATCAGAAAGATGGCACATCTCAAAAAGCAGCAATTTAGACTCCAGCACTGAAGAACAGTTTTGCTAGAGGTGCACCAAAACACTGGTCTGATATCAGATCAGCACTTATATAAAAAGCATTGACTGTATCAGAAATCAGCCTGATGTGGCCGGTAATTTGGCCAATAAATGTCCATGCATGCACACAGCCGCAGCTCAGCGAATAACATAGGTGGCAAGGAGCATAGCCTAGCAGCTTGGAGAGCTGCGCCCAGCTGGTAAGTCTGTTGTGGTAGAAGGGGATGGGGGAAGGAAGCGGCATGGGGGGGCAAATCAAGGCCCTTTGCAGTGAGGGAGTGGGGCTGGTGCTGGGGCGCACACTGCCCAGCCAGTGGGGTGGGGCGCAGGACAGAATTATGGCTCATCCAGGAGGCGTGGGGAGGGGTGGTGGCTTCTGCCGCTGTGTGCACCCCAGGAGGGCACTGGGGTGTGTCCCTGGATCTTTGTGGGGCACAGGTGGGGTGGGCTGCAGCTGCAGGATGGTGCTGCGCTGGGCTCTTCCCAGCGCATGAGGAGTGGTTGGGCCTGGGCTGCGCTGGGAGCAGGAGCTATGACAAATTTTGGGGTGGCTGCAGCCCCCTCCCTTAGCCCCCTTCCAGCGCTGCCACCCAGTCCAAGCACACCCTGACCCCGCCAGGAAGAGCCCTGGGCAGCACCTGCCCCAGCCCCACACCCTCCCTCCCAGCAGGGGTCTTAATCTGTCCCTCCCCCACCAGGCCCCTTCCCTCTCCCCTCCCACCACAACAGATTTACCAGCTGGATACAGCTCTTCAACGTGCAGGGCTGCATACTGGAAGTCGGATAGGTATCAGCCGATATGCCTACTTAAAAATTGGCTATCGGTATCAGCCCCCAAAATCTCTATCTGTGCACACCTAATCTTTGCCAATAGAATCGTGGTTGCAGTTACAGATAGATCATCATCTTAGCAGAAGGGAATGGGAAGCTCCGAAATGGGGACAAAGTTCCTGGACTTATCCTTGGACTTCTCTAATGGTCTTCCCTAAATCATCTTTTGTATCAGGCTAGGTTGTGGTGGCATGAAAAGGGGTTAGGTTTTGTTTTATGTAAATACATATTGAAAGAGAGATATTGCAAGGGAGAAGAGAGCTTAACTCTATGTGGACTTTGAATTTGTACACACACAGACAATTTGTGGCTATAAGAAAGAAGACCTTAATTCTGAGTGGACTTTAAACATACACACATACATACATGTTTAAAGCCCACTTAGAATTAAGCTCTTCTTTCTTATAGCCACATAAATTGTGTGTGTATGCAAATTCAAAGTCCACATAGTGTTAAGCTCTTTTCCCTTTAAACATATATTTATATATAGTAAGTCCACTTAGAATTAAACTCTACTTTCCCTTAAAATACCTCTCTTTCAAATGCTCAGAACTTTTTGAAAACAAATTCCTCATGAGCTTAGATAAAAATCCTGTTTCCACAAGTCAGCCTTGCAAAATTGTATTTGTACTTATACATAAAATAATGTGTAACCGCTGTAATGCAATTACTTGTTTCATGAGTGCTACTTATAAAACACTGGCTTACATCCAGTTAGGCTTTTAGATTCCAAAAAAGACATTCCTCTCCCTTCTACTGCCTTTCCTCATCTTCACTACCAACCCACAGAAGTGGTAGACTTCTATCACCCAACTCTAAACCCTGGAAGGCTGTTCTCCATTGTCCAAGGGAATATCAAGATCTTTTGTAACTTTAATCAGGTATTCCCACAAAACTAAAGTCTTGCTTTCTGCTCTAAGAAGTCTTGGTCTGTCCTGACCACCACCAGCAGAAAATGACACTCTCTGGGCTTTGAGCCTGAGACAACTTCACATCCAGCTCCTAAGTGCATCAGACATTGCAATCTAATCAGAGGCAATGGTGAGGCTGCAAAAGAGTTTGTCTTCAATATTAGAAATAACATCTGGAGACGCATTTAAAATTGACTGAAGCACTGAAAGTGCTTTCATACTATTAAAAATGTAGTCATTTTGCAGTCAGCCTGCTGCATAATGGGCGTTTTGAAGGCAACACATTCTCTTTATTTTCAGTCTCCTAGGCAGAACATGTTTCAATACTGGAGCCATGAGATGCCACTTACACTACTCAGAGTATGCCCTTGTACTAAAAGAGAGAGAGAAAAGCATGTTCCTTTTCTGATTCAAAGCTTGTCTGACTGATGTTCCCATCGGGGTATCTAAGAACAACAATCAAAGTTCAACACAGGTAAACAGTAGGGGTGTGCAAAGCGGGCCCTATTCAATTCAGATTCAGCCTGAATCAGGGATAGTGATTCCATTCATTGATTCGGATTGCTGTCCCCCAATTCAATTCAGCCAAATCCGAATCTGAAGATTCGATGCTGATTCAGAGAATCAGCGATTTGGATATAGACACAGCTTTAAAAGTTTTTTCTATATATCACAAGTTGTGCCTGCTACCTCGAGGTCGCTGCGATGCTGAGGTGCATGGAGCATTCCACAGGAGTGTGGGGGGACCCCTCCGTGTGCTCAGCAGAGAACCTGGACATGGACTGGAAGTACTTCCGGTCCACTTCCGGGTCTGCCAGGGACTGCGCACACACGCTGGGCCCCCCCACCACCTCCCCGGCTCAGCGAGAGGCCACAGGGAGACCCCGGGTGTCCCCCCAGACACCAGAGGCACCAGTCATCCCCCTGCTTGCTCCCCAGAGGACATGGAAGTGAACCAGAAGTGCTTCTGGTCCACTTCCGGGTCCTGCTGCCAAGTGTGCTCGGGAGCCCCACGCATTGCGGTGGGACACTCCATGCGCCCCAGCATAACAGCAATCACAAATACCTAGAAATATGTAGAAAAAAATATTTAAGGTTGCCTCTATGTTCGAATCGATTTGGAGGGTTCCTATTTGATTCAGAGACAAAAAAGGGCCCCCTAATTTGATCTGGCCTCAGAAATTCAGCCACCAAATTGGGCCAAATCTCCACTGAATCGAATCGGGGACTGAAGCTTCGCACAGCCCTAGTAAACAGTACACTTGGTGAATCTGTTGACAAATGTGTTCATGCCCTTGAAGTGCTTTCAGCTTTCATGCATACAATTGTGCATGCCACGCACACTTAACTTAAAACAGGTTGTCTTTTAAGATTCAGCAATTTCCTAGTGTAGCGACTGGACGATGCCCACATTGCACCATGAAGATATACACAGGGTATGCCTACATTGGGGGATGCTGCCCACCCACCAGCAAATGCATCCCAAATGCAGAAATGCAGTAGTGAAGCCTCTATTTGGAAAGCACTCCCCCTAACCCTTCTCAGGCATACT